CAGACAAAGAAGGACTCACTCTTGCCTTAAAGTACTTCACCTCTTCTACACTAACCATGCGATTGACAGGAATCACACAAATCAACAATTATATCAGCATTTATTCAGAGCTCTGTCAGGCAGAGGCATCCGGTATGACTAGATTTGATTGTACCAATTGATTAGTACTTATGTTTAGTTGTTTTGTCAGGTATTGTGAACCCGAACACAGACTCGATGGGCGAAGAGTTGGCGAAATGGGTTAAGGATAATAAGATCATTGAACACATATTTGGTCCCAATTCACACGTAGAAGTGATCAAACAAAGTCATATTGTACTCAATTTCGTCGCCTCACAGATCACTATAGAGCACATTGACGTGATTTGGTCGGCCTCTCAGATGAAACATTGCGGACGTCAAGTGTTGGATATTTTATTGCCATTAATTAAAAATTTGAAACCAAAGTCTGTTCTCCACTTGTATTGGTTGCTGAAGAATCTCGAGCCTAAAGAACATACAGAACAGACACTTGTGTTGGCGTCACAACTCTTGAAATACATATGGAGTCAATCGAACAGCTCTGCCGGTGATATGATGGCTACAGTTAGTGGTCAGACATCAGTACAGTCGGTGAAGATGTTGGAGGAGTTGACATTAGTTCGCAGCCCTATCTTCACAATGCTTCCCGGTTCGAGTCAGAAGAACCGACACAATGCCGGCGCAGACTCGAGCTCTTCCAGTGGTTCCGTTGACAACTCAGATGAAGACGAGGACGACGATGACTATGACGTCGATGTCACCCAAAACATGGCCACAACGCCTGTATTTAGACAAAAAGGCAAAAGGATTTGTAACTCAAGTAATAATAACAGTAATAGCGATGAAAGCTCTGACGGCACGTCAGAATCAGAAGACGACGAGATTATTATCCCTGACTTGAGTGAAGAGAATATGTCGGCCGCCGGCGGACGTCTACATCAGGCACTGGTTGGCAATTATAGCAATTCTTCTTCCAGTGATTTGGTGCCAATGGCTGTGCGAGACGTCGTCGCAGCTATTCATAGAGATAACAGTTTTAATAGCAGTCAACAAAACAGCATTGAAGACAATCAGAAAACTAATGATATCTCGAAGAATACATCATTTATGAGTATGTCTTTGTTTTTGACAGTAATGATATATTTGCTAAACTTATGTTTTTGTGTCCATAGATCTAACATTTTCAGATCGCATTCAATTTAAACTCAAAAGTGAACAACAGTTAGAAATAGCCAAACAAACAACAATTAACGAAACCAAAAACATTTCACCCACTATTTTGAACACATCTCTGGACACAGATACTAGTGGTCGTGAGAACACTCCAATCGATGGTCAGTCATCTCTACAAACGCCTGACGTAATGGAAAAATTAGTTAAACTCACTGAAGGACTTAATAGCAAAAATGATGATGAGTTGAGCGACAACTCTCGCCCCAGCAGTAGAAACAGTCGCTTAAGTGATAAAAATATGGCCGACTTTGAGGGCGAGGATTCAGACACTGATTTGACAAAAATAGATGTGACGGATAGTGATTGTACGGATCGATACTTTGATGAATTGGACAGCAATGGTGGGCAAAAGTCTTCGTCTGCATCTCATAAGTTAGCGATAATCGC